GAACTTTGACATCGGGAGAAAAACGAATTCAAGTTAGTTGATTGATTGAGTCCTTGGTAAATCACCCAAATGAAATTCCAAGGCTAGGACCCAACACAATATCCTACAACTCGGAGAGGGATGCCGTAACCCAAATTGCAGAACATTTGAAGGTAAGTGAATGACGATTCACTAATTTCCACCATGAAAAACGAAAAAGAAATTTAAGTTTTAAATCTATGAAAACTCCTAGATCCTTTGAGATTCATTGAACATTTCAATGGCATGTTTAAATCTCGATATGCCCCTCTTGTTTGTGACTGGGATGCCGAGGATCACAAAGCGGGTGTGAATAACCATGCAAACTACATGGTGCCCTCACATGTTACAATCACCTATTCGATGTGCCGGTAAACCACACACGCTCCACCGAACTATGACAAACATTGAGTCACCCTTTGCTACCTTTGCTTAGAACCATTTAGTGTGCCGGTAAACCACACACGCTCCACTAACGTCTTCGCAAGGGCACAAAGTGTAATTTCATGGAATTGCATCAATTCACTTTTGCCTAAGTAACTAAGATTGGGAATTTGAAAAACATTTAGTTACTTTGTATTTCATTATACTTATAATGGAAGGTTTCGTCCTATCCTACCCGTTCGGCTAACGACCCTCCACTAGTCAAGAGTGCGGTGGGTAAGAGTGGATACCCATTCAATCGCCATTTTATAGGCAATTTCCTTAAACACCCCTTATAGACCAGCTTCGTGAATGAGGCCTACTAACGGTAAGACTGACTTTTACTCATACATATATATAATGTTAGACTTTAATGTATATATATAGTATAGGGTGTATTTTATACTTTTAAAATACTATATGGTTAACTTTAACAATTACACTTTTAATTCAATTAAATGGTTAACCTAAACTTTTATGGATTTATTAAACCTCTTTTAATTATACTCCTTAATTAATTAATAAAACCATAAGGGTGTGATTTGAACTTTTCAAAACATTACTAGGGTTTTAGAATTTAACATTTCTAATTAAACTTTTAATCAACTTTTAAATTCCAAAACTTGAGGGCAAGTTTTGAAACTTTTTCAAAACATTAGGGTTTTAACTATTTAAATTTCAAAACTCAAAACTTTTGGGTTCAAATTTAAACTATAAAACCTAAAGGGGAAAATATGAAACTTTTCATAACAACAAGGATCAAATAACAAATAATTTTAAATTAACATTTAATTACATAATTATCCATATTTGATTTATTTAATGATTTCTTGCAAAACAATTTATCAATTTACTCAAAATAATTAATCAATTATCTTATAAGGAAACAATTATCTTGTTAATTGATAATTATCTTTAATTAGATCAAGAATATAGTCATATATATCATAAAATCGGATTTATATTGATCTAACATGATAAGGTAACTATCCATATGCAAAAACAGCAAGAAATCCCGAGATAAGCATTATCTGACGATCGAACTCGCCGAGTACCACACTGTACTCGCCGAGTTGAGGTCTACTCGCCGAGTACACTGTGGTACTTGCCGAGTTCCTCAGCCATAAAGCCCAAAAAATGATTTTCCAGTTATACAATGCATCAATACAATTGAAACCAAGCTAGGCTCTGATACCACTGATGGGTTTTGGTCATAAGACATCCTATGTGCTCATACAAACCCTAATGCTTGGATCTAGGTTTCTCTATTGTACATGCTTTGAATCCAAGACTATAAACCCTAATTCTAGCATGCAAGTAATCATATTAATATGTAATTAGGTTTAAGATCATACCTTGATTGTTATGTAGCAATAACAATCCCAATTCCACCTTGGATTGACTTTGGAATGCTTAGAGTCACAAGTGTCACTCCTCTAATGGCTTACAAACACCATAAGCAAATGGAGAAGGTATAAAGAGAGAAGTGAGAGGTTAGAATTCGTATCTAGGACCTCTTGGGAAGGGATACACGAATTCATGACCCTAGGGGTGTTTATATAGGTGTAGAGATAGGGTTTCAGTCATTATCCTTATCTAGTTGATTATCCATTAAGCAACCAATAAGATAATCCTTGAATCCTTATCATACTCGAATTCTAAGGCTTTCCAACCTTAAATTCGTCCACCATATAAATAAGATAATCCTTACCTGATTTTGTAACTATCACATAATTACAAATCAGCCCCTCTAGTTTAATTAATTACATTTGATCACAAAACTAATTCTTAATTAATTATTGACCAATATTAATTAAACAAATATGATTTCTCCTTTAATATATTATTCTTATAACATATTAATAAATCATATTATCCTCTCTCTCTTTATTCATTTCTTCAATCAAGTTGCTTTGGTGAAGGCAACCCAAAAGGACCATGCACCATCGGGTCAAGTACATACCAAAATAGTTATGGACTTAGACACTAATCCAACAGAAGACGCATAGAACTTTACCAAACTTGGATATCGATTGAGGATGACAGCAACATAGGGATCAATTGAGAACTTTAGCAATCGATTTATAGGTTTGTTCAAGAATTTCTTTACGATAAATTTTGGGTTTTATGATCAAATTATGAAGAGAGAGAGAGAGAGAGAGAGAGAGAGAGAGAGAGAAAGAGATGTGAGGAAGAAGAAAGATGGTGAGGGATTGGCGTTGGGGCAGAGTGGGTGTCTATTTATTTTTTAATTTTTTAAATAAAACTATATAAAAGAAAAAGGAAAATGCAATTGAAAAATGGTATAATAGTAATTTCAATTCAAATTTGTAACAAAACAAAACCACAAGGATCAATCATGAAAAATTTTAAAAAGCACAAGGACCATGTTTGTCAAAAAAATCGTAGAGTGTAACACTCATTTTCCATAATAGATTAGTTGAGGACTTGAGGGATCAATGGTAAGGTTTTTGGAAAAAAAAAACTTTGTAACACGACATGGTGAATGGAGTACCACACTGTGGCATGCCAACTTCAAGAACGCGCATCTAATGGTTTCCACGACGTGGCAAGAGGGGTGCCACAACGTGGCAGATGCTACAGCCCAAGCTTATGATTTTAGGGTTTCTTCCATATTTAAGAAACTAAACTTAAGGATTAGGGCATCGTCTTCAGCCTCCAACCCTTCAACATGAAACCCTAGCCTCCATGGATGATTAAAAGCTTGTTTGCTTGATTGAAGACCTTGTTCTTTGATTTTTGTGAAGCTTGATGAACGAGGAAGATCATTTTCATGCAACGAAGCAAAGAACCAACTTGGATACATCTTCTTCAGATTTCTAAGTTATTTAAGGTATAAAATTCACACCTTGGCATTTCTTTTCCTAGATTCAAGATTAGGATCATTTTGGGTGGTTTTGTCCCCTTCCGTTGATGCTCTTGGAGTTTGAGGAACTCCAGAGCTTATTATGGTTCTCTTATGGTCTCTAGGATTTTAATGAATAAGAAAAATAGTCATTTTTGGAGTATATTGTATTCATGCATAAGTTTTAGCCTCATTAAGGACTTAATGGACTTAGGGTTGTAGATCTTGCCTTATGGTGGAGTCCTAATGGATAAAATGAGAAACTCTATCAACTAAATCATTGAAAAGGACTAGATCTAAAATTATAGGTTTAGACCTGTAACGATTAAGTTCTTAATGAAAAATATGGCTTTCTGCCAGGAACCACGACACAACCATGGGCTTGCCACGACTTGGTGGTGTCTTGCATGTCAACTGTTTTGTCATGGCATGCTCACGACGTGGCCAAGAGGTTTCCACATCGTGGTGAATGTTGATTTGGTTGGCCGTTGACTTTTTTTTATCATTGACCTTTGACTTTTGACCAATTTGACTTTGGGTCAAACTTGAATTATTTGGGTTATTGATTAGAGACTTGTCTTTGTTTAGTGCTAGTCGGTTCACAGGAGTAACCAATTTAGGGAGTGAGGGTGTTGTTGTGCTTCCTTGCGTCTTTGATTCATGTAAGTTTTTTCACTATACTATGTGTCATAGTGTATATCCTTATATGATAGGATATATGAGTAATGACATGTTGGTTAGAGTACCATAGGTCTGTGATAGTCTAGTTGGATGCCCTATGAGTTGTATGTAGTCATGTAGGATAACTTGAAAACTCTTGATTCAGACGTTCTTGCATGTTCCTTGTTTGGTTGTGGCTCTAGAGTGGGATCAACGGTTCGACTGTCTATCTCACCTCTGATTAATTATATATAGTTATGCATTCACTGGTGATCCTACTAGTTGTGGTGTAGTATGTTGTATGAGATCCTATATATATAGTTATGCATTCACTGGTGATCCTTCTAGTTGTGGTGTAGTATGTTGTATGATATCCTATATGCAACCGTGAGTTTTCTCACTGTGTTACCTATATTAAAGGCCTATATTCTAGTAGTAAATATTTAGAGACACAATATTTAGGTCATTGAATGACCACTTCTTTGTAAACTATTATAATGTTAATTTCAACTTTAGTAAGTTATTTGTGTGTGTGGGGGGGGGGGGGGGGGGGTGTTATTTATGACTGCATAGTGAAATTTGTAGGTGTTGAATAAACATGCTACAAGTATGTTTTTTGACTTGTAAAATGGGTTGAGATTGAATGAGATTCAAGTTTTAGAAAGGGTACAACCATTGAATAAATTAACATGCAACAAGTATGTTTTTTGACTTGTAAAATGAATTGTTTTCCTCTTTTAGAATTTACAGGGAAGAGATATTTTCTGAAATTGAATATAAGATTTAGTTTATAATACAAAAGAAACAAAACAACTATATATATTTAATAAGCCTAAAAGAAGAGGATATAGGCCAAGAGGAAACTAAATGCAATCAAGGAAAGTGTAACAAAAGAAAGTTTTTGTTTTTATTTTTCTTGGAGCAATATCAACCAAGAACAATTTTTAATTTTTCAAAGGAAAGTGTAATTTAAACCTATACGAATACAAACATTCACAAAAACAGTAAAACGCAATTCTTTTTGGTGTATCTACTATGGCTCACAATCAATTAGAACTTGGACAACCGAATCCATTGTAGGCCTTTTATTCCTGTCTTCGTCCACACAACTTACACCAATCTCAACCAGTTTTGCAGCCTGCTTCCTACTAAACACCCCTCCCAACCTTGAATCAATAATCTCTTCAATCCATGACTCCATTTCTTCTCCTTGAAGCTTCGTTTGCGTTACCCTTACAACCCTCATAAGCTCCGACTCTTCCTCTTCACCTTCCTGCATAATCATATTAGAAAGTCGAACTCCCCTTGCCATTTCTAAAACCAAAACCCCATAGCTGTACACATCAACTTTTGCTGTGATAGGAAGGTTGCTAGCCCATTCTGGAGCCATATATCCTTTTGTACCCCTCATTTTAGTAAACTCCGAGTTTTGACCACCTCTTTGTGACAACTTTGCCAAACCAAAATCTGCAATCTTTGCTTCGAACGACTCATCTAAAAGAATATTTTCTGGCTTAACATCACAATGAATCACCCATTCTAGGCACTCATGGTGTAAATAAGCCAAACCTTTTGCTATCCCGATGGCAACTTTGAACCTTTCTTTCCATTGAAGAAAACTCGAGGAGAACAATCTTTTGTCAAGAGATTGATTTTCTACATACTCATAAACTAGAAGTTTGTGTTTTCTCTGAGAGCAGAATCCCCACATCCTCACTAGATTCATGTGATTGATTTTACCAATGGTGCTGACTTCTGTCCAAAACTCTCCACCTTCTTCGCTCACATCTCCCAGTCTTTTCACAGCCACCACCCTTTCGTCTTCCAGAATCCCTTTATACACAACTCCTGATCCTCCTCGGCCTATCTCCTCCTTAAAGTTCTGTGTCGCCTTCAACAGCTCTTTATAACTAAACCCTCTAAATTGACTAGATACCATACGATACCCTTCTTCTAGGCTGTTTACCAATGCGTTGTTTCCATAAAATATCCACCAGCCCAATAAGATGACCAAAGCTTCAACTAAACCAATAGCTATAGCAAACGAGTAAAGATAAACCCATTTCACCTTCCCACCAGATAATTTATACATAGATGGAGATCCCAGGGTGACTTGATCGTCTGCACATATGGCCTTTGAACCAGTAAGGATTGAAGCAGCTTCGGGTGTTTCCATGCCTATTGGGACTTTGATGTAGGTGGTTCCTGGGAAATTAGGCTTCTGGAAACCATTATAAAGAACATTTTTAGTAAAACAAAGACCTTCACCTGTTAGCCTATAGTTAAATGCTTCACAACGAGAATCTTTCAAGCAGATGTCTTTACACGAATCCAAGGAAATGCGCGATGAGTAATTTAGATCAAAGCCATAGTAATCAGTATACGACATTGGCAAAAACTCAAACCTCGTTGAGTTTTCACTCGTAGCATTGAATGTAGGCTTACACCCACGGCTTAAATCAGTAGGGTCACTCCACTCATGGCCAGCTGGGCATGAACACGACGGTGGTTTGTCTCCGTAAACACAAATCCCGTTTCTCCCACAGATTCCATGAACATCACATGGTTGTGCAATAGCTTGCCATGAGATCGACCATAACCCAGTTGACTCATTCAAGCTATAAAATCTGAGATTCCCATCATAGTCCATGGTGAGCCTCCTTCTGATCCCCAAACCCATATCCGAAGCATTAAATTGCCACCCATCGCTTGAATTAAACACACCCAAATCGTTAAAGACTGCAAATCTGCTACTGTTATAGGAGGTTCTTCCAGCAGACCAAACGTCAAATCCAAGAAGAGGACTAGGCCAGTACACACTTGCGATTTCTGGGCCATCATAAAGCAGTATTAATACATTATTACTGTTATAACTCAAACTAAAATACCCAGCTTGTAAACTTCCTTTTCTCAATGCAGATATTAAGCTTTTGCTCTTTGTTAACACTTGAGAAGGCAAAAGAGTATCGGTTGGATAATCAAAGCTTTGCCAAAGAATCTCACCTTTCTTGTTCATCAATACCAGATTACCTGTATTAAGCAGCACTGCTCTATCTACATCGGTGGATGTTGTGTTGGTCTGCCAAACAAACATGTCATTTACATCGGTCAAAACCATGGCACCGTTTTTCTGAAGCGTCATTTTTGAGCCATGGCCATTGACAGGTTTGCTGCGGTTTGCAGTCCAAACCACGGTTCGATCTTTGGAATTTGTATACCAGATTGCAAACCAGTAAGCGTTGGTTTGAAGGCCGTAGAAGCCACACGTAAAAGTGTTGTCAGGGGAGGTTATGATGTGTGAGCCATCACCAACTGATAGAGACGAGCCTCTACGAAGATGACCATGAATAGTGTTCTTTGATGATGAAGATTTCATGATCAAGCACCAAAAGAGGAGGAGAAAGACTCTTTTGTTCATGATTAATTAACTGTTTATGTTTTCAGCAAACAACTTAAACGGTTCTTGAGATGAAAGTTTAAGCAAATATAGCATTGAAATTAATGCAACTTTTGACATGGAAAAGCATACACCATACTTTGTTTTTATAGTACAAGAGTAGGCCAATTCGGGAAACGACCATAGATCGAGTTGTTTATTTGTGGGAATTGACGATTGACTTAAAGATTTATGGAGTATAATTCGGTTCATATTTAAGACAGTTATTATGCATGTCCACATATATACACTTATTATGACGTCAATATTTAGGCGTGGTTCATACTCTGTCTAATTATATGTGAACGAGGAAGAAGAAAGAAGAAGAAGTTTTAATGAAATAGACTTGTTTTCAGGAAATTGACCTCGATTTATATATGGAGTGTTCTTCGATTAATATTTTAAAAAACGGGAGATGATTTGTCCACATACACAATTGTAATTGTTGACAAATTAGTTTACTGTATATTACGAAGTCAAACCTACGAGAAACACGACCAATCAACAAAGGACTCTTATGTTGTAATTAAGATCAGAGGGAGTGATTTTAATTTGTTCACTTATAAGTAAATCTTTCGGCTATTAATTACTCTTCCAGATTAAAACAGTGCCCACTTCATCATTTGAAAAAAAAATACGACGACTGTACCATTGATGAAGTAATTTGGATAAATAAATATAAATTTGGTTTTCTCACAAAACTCGTGCAGTATCAACACAACACATGCATGCAATATAAAAGTTAAATGATATTTATGACATTAAAAACTTATAACAAATTCAACGATTCCATAAAAAAGAGTAATAACGCAAAATAAAAATAAGACACAATATTTAACAAATTTTTTTCGGGATATATTCAGGAAAGTCTTAATATTTTCATTGATTTGATAAGAAAGTTCTAAACTTTATTTTTTTGACAGTAAAATCCAGATTACCGGCAGTTTTTGATATTTTTACCATTTTTTCCCGGTTAGCTGGTAATTATAATTTTTTTGTCAAAAAAAATAAAGTTTAGGACTTTCTTGTCAAATCATCAATTAGGACTTTACTGTAAAAAAATAAAGTTTAGGATTTTTTTGTCAAATCGTTGAAAATATTAGGACTTTAGTGTATATATAATTTTTTTTTTGTTAGAAATTTAATGGTATGATACTCTTTAAGTATAAGAGTTATTGAAACATTCTCTAATCAACTAGATCCTATTGAAATCGTTTACGTTTGCTTCTTGTTAAATCGTTTTTTTTAATCTCAACAAACCCTGGTTCTTTCTTTATTTCTTGATTATCTCAATTTTTTTTAATGTCGGTTTGTTGAGATTAAAAAAACGATTTAACACGAAGCAAATGTAAATGATTTCAATAGGATCTAGCTGATTAGAGAAGGTGTCAATAACTCTTATGCTTAAAGAGTATCATATCATTAAATTTCTAACAAAAAAAATTATATACACACTATGGTCCCAATATTTTCAACGATATGACAAAAAAGTCTTAAACTTTATTTTTTTGAGCGAAAAATCCTAATTGACGATTTGACAAGAAAGTCTTAAACTTTATTTTGCTGACAAAAAAGTCATAATTACTGGCTAACCGGGGAAAAAAGGTAAAATTGTCAAAAATTGCCTGCAATTTGGACTTTACTGTAAAAAAAAATAAAGTTTAAGACTTTCTTGTCAAATTGATGAAAATATTGGGATTTTACTATATATATCCTATTTTTTTCACATGATCAAGATGATAAGATAAGTCCATGGTCAGGGGGTCCCGAACCACCTCTTTGATTCAGCTCGTTAGTGGTAAAAAAATTATTAGGGTGCAACATCTTTACAACTTTATGACACTACTATTTTACATTTTTTCAAAAAAAAAAATTTATGCCACCACTATTGAAAGTTTATGTGTTCACCACTGTCCACAGCGAACATGGACGAGAGGTTTTATTATTTCTGTCGTAGGGATAATACCTTAAAAGGGTAATATATTTTTCGATTTGTACATATTTGGTCACTAAGTTTTTTTTTTTTTCGTCAACATTTACTTATTCAACTTGTTCAACTGTACACATTCAATCCTTATGACCGATTACTCCAGGTTAGCCGGGAAAAATGTCTTAATAGGGTAATATATTTCTCATTTTGTATATATTTAGTCCTCAATATTTTTATACACATCTAGTCCTTAATATTTTTTTTTTCTTTTTTTGTTTTTATATTCATTGAGTAATTATGAATGATTTCTTTAAGTTTTCTTCACAACATCTGCAATGGGACAATCATTGATGAGGTGTTTGAGACTGTTGATGCTTATGTCCATCACGATCTCGATTGTTTGGTTCGTAGGTTTTGTGGTTTGACTTAGGTCTTGTGTTCTGAACATCGTAACTTCTTCATATGATATCAAATTTTAACGATCTTTATATCCACGTGTACATTTTTTTAGTCTACTAAAACTTTCGTTAAGATTGCCCCCGTTAAAATATAATATATTTTTAGTTACAATTTTATAAAAAAAGACATTATGCATGCATTCATAAAAAGCATATGGATATAAAGATCATAAGTAAAAGTATATTACTTTTAATGGGAGTAACCTAAACGAAATTTGTAGTAGACTGAACTACGAACACATGGATATAAAGATCGTTAAAATCCGAGATCGTATGAAGAAGTTATGACGTTCTGAACACATGACCTAAGCTATCAAGTAGTCGAGATCGCGATTGACATAAGCATCAAAAGCCCCAAACACCTCATTAATGATTGTCTCACGTAAGATGTCATGAGAAAAAAAACTAAAGAAATCATTCATAAGTACTAAATGAGTACAAAAACAAAAATGTCTTATATTCCAACAAAAAAAAAATATTAAGGACTAAATGTGTACAAAGTGAGAAATATATTACCCTATTAAGTCATTTTTACCGACTAACCTGCAGTAGTCGATCATAAGGACTAAATGTGTACAGTTTAACAAGTTGAAGGGGTGAATGTGGATGAAAAAAAACTCAATGACCAAATGTGTATAAATCAAAAAATACATTACCCTTTTAAGTCATTATCCCTTCTGTCGTATGACTTCATTTCCTTATGTTACACCAATTTAAGGAATATAATTATATAAATACTAGTAAGTTATATAAATTCTAGACAACACAGTTAATGAAATCTCATTAATATATCATAAACCCCAAATTATTGAATCATAATAACTTCAATTAATCACCCCAAATTATTAACTCCTGATAACTTCAATTGGCTCAAATGAAACAATCGCACCCAAACTCGTTACACGAGTGGTAAATTGGATACTTGGTGACCAACTAGCATTCAAGAACTGACTTGTTAGTAATGAGCTCCCGAACAAACTAATTATGGTATTATATAATTGAGGTTAGGTTCTTATCAACAACGAAGAAAAAATATTATGCAATGGTCACTTGAATTTATTCTCTTAATCGATACTTGGAACTATTAAAGTTGATTAAGATTCGCAATTCAGAGAGGTCTCACAAGGACTTTATGTTGATGATCAAAATGAGACCAATGTTCTTTGTTTGTAAATTCTTAAAAGATGGTGGACATTGCTAGTATAACATTACATTTGGTTTGTATTTATCTTGTATGTATTTCGACCTTGTTATGCTTGTAATTTACATTTACTTATATAGAGAGGATGATTATGAGAAAACATTTTATAATCATGGTATCATAGTAAGAATATAAATGAGTGATCATCTCCGATAAATTCTCTATTTTCCCTCTCCCTTCTCTCTTGGTGCTTCCTCACCTTCCCTCTCCTTATTTTGTTCTTTCGCATGTCTTCCCACTACAAATGTCTTAATGTTTCTACTCATCTCAATGAACCGAATGATAAATCCCTAGTTGCCTAAAAATGCTAAATGAAATCTCATTGAATCCATTGTAACATGTGGATATATGGATTACCTCTCTCCTTCATATGATTATGAAGAAAAATGGCACTGGTAGACCGGTAAGGATAAGCCTAAAGACTTTGTTTCATGATAATAAAGATTCCAAGGCTATTTAATCATACAATGAACTTCAAAACATTACCATTGGGGATTCAAATGTAACCAATTACTACACCCACATAAAAATTATTATTGACCTTCTTGATAATATTGGTGTAATCATTCCAGAAAAAATGTGTCTTATAATATTAATGGGTTTTCCCCTAAATTACAATATGTTGCAAGTTTAATTTGCCATCGATCTCATCTTCATAAATTGATTTAAACTAGTATGCTTCTATTGGAAGAGCATATGATGCATAAAGTTTAGAACCAGAATATTCATTTTTCTCACTCGGGTCATTTATCATCTCTAACATTTAACAACATTAATAATGAAGCATGCAAGCATGAACCACTCTTACCATGAAGGAAAGCAACATTGAGGATGAAGTAGTCGTACAAGAGGCAAATAGTGTGGTAGCTCGTCAATGCTCCATTGCAATAAAATACCCAATGTAGGTAGGGGTCCTTGTGGTATATGTGGACCTATCTTTCCATTAACAGTCATTGTGCAACGCCCTTTTGGGTTACCTATCTTGCAATCAGGCCTTCTGCCCACACAATCAGCTGCCCAGTTCTTTAGTGTGCCTCAACAACAACCATTGAATCCCAATAGCTGGAACGCCCTACACTATTTTGGCCCACCAACCCCTAATTTGAGTCTTCAACATGTATGTAGAGAATAACCTTATCTCAATCAGTAGATAACTCATTAGTTTCAGGAATGGGATTATCAAGAACGTACTCACGATCATCGTACCTTAGGCTTATCCTCAGGTTACACATCCAATTGAGGTAGTTGGCCCCACAAGTGATTTTCTCCCATTTAGAGAATAGAGAGAAGGGAGAAGTTTGAAATGGTGGTGGGGGGATAATGTAGGAGAGGAGTTCCTTCATAACCATAC